ACTCAGGATAGTAAGTTTCTAAAGTGCTTATGGGCACTTTGAGAAATGAATGCAGATTGGTTGATTACTGAGCTCACAAAATTTAACTAACTATTGAACAATTCCATACCTGAGCGACGCCCTCATCCCATCCTCTGATGACTTCTCCGCGACCGATCTTGAATTTGAAGGGTTGTCCGCGATCGCGCGACGAGTCGAACTTCTGTCCGTTCGTCAGTGTACCTGTGTAGTGCACCACGACAGTCTGACCGGGCTTTGGGTAGGTTGACCCTGGAAATTGTTTGAAAGACATTGAATTATATTTCTTGTCAATAAAGTTTATATTTGTCAACAATGGTCTTTTTAATTTAACACTACAATACTTTTTAATTTTACTTACAACTAAAAAGTGTGTGTAGTGTTTAGTAGTTATGGTACAAAACACTACACATACTTTTTAGTAGCAGTAGAGCTCCTTGTGAGAGTTTGTCCAAGGAAGTCCTGTCACCTTACCTATTTCTGCTACTAAGACATAATGTGAGCATTACTGTTTTCCAGTTTGGAAGGGTAGTGTGCTGGTGAAATTACAGGCACAAATGGGACTTGTCAACTTATGTTTCAGGTGACAGGTGCAGTGGCAGTGCCCCTAAGATCTTTCTGATTTAAAACTCTGAGTGAGACCACCAGGCACATGACTTGTTCATAGTGATGAAAGAGACTCATGTCCACTTGCACTAAACCTAGGTACGTCTTAATCCAATAATTGCAATGCAAAAGAAACTCTTAATACATTGTGTTAAGAGTGTCTTATCAATTTAAGCATTGGTTTAAGAGATACTTAAGTTTAGTGCAAGTGGACATCAGTCGTTTAAGGCGTTTTATAACGACTCGACTCCATTTTACAGGATTCGACTCTAAAATTAAGACTGGGGATTCGAGTTTTTATTAATAACACTCAGTCGTTTTACTAAAAGACTCAAAAGACTTAAATGACTTGAACGACTTGAAAAACTTAAACAACTCGAGTTGTTTGCAAAGGACTTATACCTATTTTATATTTTATTAAGCCCAAAGTTTATAAATAAAAATGACGTAAGTAGTATGTAGGAAATAATCACGTTTATTTACTTATAATAAAAATCGTAAAATAAATACCTTGTGGCTAGAAATAAAATCACGCCATACGGCTCATGACTCGCGAACTCCGAAATTATGAGGTGCCAGTCGTTTTAGACTTTTTAGTCGTTTTAGTCCTATAAGTCTTTTAAGCTTCCTAAGGTTAAAACTTCGACTCGAATTAGTCTTCAGTTTCAGTGTTATGACTCAAGACTTGAGGGTTATAAGACTAGACTTTTTTTTATTTATTTTTTATTTTTTGATTTGTTGGTATTATAATAAAAATTATTAAATTAATTAAAAGTCAAAAAAGGGAAGCTCTATAAGTTTGAAGTCCTTTGTCTGTGTGTCTTGTATGGTCAGTCTAGACATTGCAGCTTCCAATTAGCTGGACTGATCTTAAAGTGTCCATTTTGAAAGCTAATTAAATCAAGATGGTATTCAGCTTTGTTTCATGAATGTTCGGTTTAGATATTTAAAGATCGTCAGATCTTTTTCCCATGAACACATAGACCTCTCTCTGATCGACTTGAAATTTGTTTTACCATGGAAATCTGATGACATTACAATAATATGGCAACTTTGGTCTGATGCTGTGACTTGTTGTTAGTGAACAGATGATGATTTGAATGACTTGCTGGGGTCGTGTATTGTAGGTTTAAGGGTTTTATTTAAAAAAAATGCAATATTCACGAATTTTTCACAGAGCACGCAAATTTACAAGTTGAGGCGAGAATCCAGGTTGAACCGCCTTGTTCCTGTCGGCGACTGTTTTTTGTCTGGAAGTAACATTTTTCCAGTCGTGTCCCTTCAAACGTGTGGAAATAAATAACAAAGGAACATCGTGCGAAATAATAGCATGATAATAAAAAGGTCAATTGACAGTTACGTAACTATTGTTTATTAATCAGCGCTGACTTCGCGGATTGTTAACGGTCGACAATGGCTAGATTTAGTATAAGAATAGAATGGGTAGCCTGACGCCTAATGCAATATGATACAAAAACTTCAAACCACAGCTTTCGATGAATAATTGTAGAAGTGCAGTCGGAAAAAATTCCATTATGCTTAATTTGCAAAGCGAAAATCTAATAAACATGGGTTACTGTCGGCGGAAATTAAATCAGTGTTTTAAACTACAATTATTTAAATAATCACTTACCGTCTCCAGGAGAAATTGTTTCCACATTAACACCCATGATTTATTTGTTGTTTTATTTACAAAATGCGGCTTAAAAATAATTAAACGATAATTACAATGCGGTGTGAAAAATACGCTTCAATGGCGGCAGCGGCAAGCGCTGGGAGGCGGGGCCGGGGCGTGCGTCTGCCGGCGACGCGGCGTGCTTTTTTGTCGTGGTTGCAGTGAAAAGGGGTAATTTGAAAGGAGTTGTAACTATTGAATTTTGGATATTTCTTTCTCAGTCTTACGTATGATTTTATACAAAATTGAAATAAATTGGCGTCCTGTTTCGAATTTCCGGTTGGAAGAAAAGGCGGGGTTTTGTACAGTTTTTACACTAATTCATTTTTAGTATTAATATATTTATGTTTTGAGCTTCTGAATTATTTCTTTAAATTCTTAAATATTATGTGAAGCTGATAATTCTACAGCCAATGCTGAATAAATAAATAATAATAATGGATGTCCCGGTTGAGATTCTCATCGAAAAAGTGCTCGTTTAAAAAAAAAAAAAAATTTGTTTGATCTAATTACGCTAGTCACGATTCATTATTTCAATTTTAAATATGAATTTTGCAAAAAACATCCACCTACCAGGTAAAGTAATTATTATTATTTGTTTCATAGGCGATTAACACACTGCACCACGCCACGCGACGGAGCGCGAGACGCGGAATCACGCGCGCGGTGACGGAGACGCAGATCTGCGTCAACGCGCGGTTTATAAATCTGCGCGGGGGCAGCGGTGTAGCGGCTCCGCGTCACTTAAAGGTTGTATTCTAGAACTCTATTCAATGCTCAAGTCAGGATTTGAGTATGGTTTAAAGCACTCGAAATCATACTCAAGTCCCTGCCATTAGGGTCGTATTTCCAGTGCTTGTGTTTCCAGTGCAATCCTGACTTAAGCAGACTTGAGTATGATTTCAAGCACTGGAAATACGACCCTAACGGCAAGGCTTGAGTATGATTTTCAGTGCTCACTGCAATACTCAAGTCCTGACTTGAGCATTGAGTACAGTTCTGGAATACGACCCTTAAAGTACTCGTTTCGCAGTTGATCGCCGTAGTGATTGTATATGTAGCCGAGATCTTTCTTTGACAAGAATGGTTAATAATACAGAACTCATTCAGGACGCTGCAGTTATATTGTTTATTTGGTTTTTGTTTACTCAAGTAAAAAGACACCGAAGATATTGGATATATCCCTTTTTACGAACCAGATCGATAACTGGATAATTTCAACTCCATTACAAAGATTTAAGAAAATATATAGATAAATTTGGTCGATTTTCAATAGCAAATATAAATTTTATCGACTTCGAGATCTGTTGTAGAAAGCTAAACATGTCCTTAAGCTTAAAAATTTGCGCGGTAGTACGAAGCGCAGTGTGCCATACCCTGCGGTTCGGTGGCCCCTCGGCGCGGGAGCGCGGTACTTCAGCACAACGTTAAAAACTGCATCTCCGCGCTCCGTTCGGTCGCGGGTGCGGTGCAGTGTGATAATCGCCTAAATGTGAAAGATTTTTTCCTGAAATAATAGTCTAGGTAGTTAAATAATTAAAATGTCATAAAATTGTTATAAATATTGCCGGGGATAATTTGATGACAATTTAGCTACTAGTATAATAAACGGTTTGTTGTTCTTGCATTATTTGTAATAAGATAATGCTGCTGCTCTAAGCAAAAAGAGAACAGAGGACGTTAGCTTCTATTTATCTAAACGTTGAATTTAGAAATTCATAACGAATTGAACAGTATTTTTGATTCCTTTTTACTTGTTTAGTTTATAAGATCTCAAGGATGACGAATGTTTAACTTTACTAATTTTAAAATTACAATAATCGAATAATAAGAAGAAAGTCGCTTATTCCCAGTACTTCTATGTTACTTAGGGTCTTATTCCAGAACTCTACTAAATGCTCAAGGCAGGACTTTGTATGATTTCTAGCACTGGAAATACCACCATAATGGCAAGCACTTGAGTATGATTTCTATTGCTTTAGTATGATTTAAAGCACTAGAAATCATACTCAAGTCCTGTCTTGAGCATTGAGTAGAGTTCTGGAATACGGCCCTTAGTTCCACTTGGAACAATTTTATTGTACCTTAAAGTGTCATATTTATTCCCAATAGCCTTGACATTTGTTTTGTTTTTGCATGATCATTAATCAATGTAGTTACTTTTTTCTATAGTTGTTAATAAAGCGTACTCGAATTTGAAAGTTTTAATCAGTACTTTTTAATTTTCAAAATCGTGTTTTCTCAATTTCATCATTTTTGAGTTACGACAATTAACAGTCGCAATGCGTGATAATGGTATTTTTGGATATCTGTGATTGTACACACGCCAGCACATCAAGCTACACATTGACGTATCTTGTTCCGTTGCACTGGAGGCGATTTTCGAACAAAAATGTGTAGTCTGATGTGCCGTTGTCCGTACAATATTAAATAAATAAAACGCAAATGTTTATCAGCGATTAGATCAATTTACCATGTATATTAATTTAGCTATATAGAAATAATCAGAAATAAAACTCTCGCGGTACAAATATAAACATTTTAATATAAATATAATCAACACACATAGTGCCAGGTGACAGGTAGCTTCACTTAGCTCACATAAAATCCACTTTTATATCTAATACAAACATCTACTTAGAATATTTGTTTAAAATAGTGATGTATTTCTTTATTATAACCAATTAACTTGATAAATTGATAAAATTATGGCTATCCCATAACTTTTTATGGCTATGGCATCGAGCCTATTCGTCAGCACGCTTTAACCACCGCAAAATCCACGCTGTACGCGTGTTTCATATATAAAAAAAAAACAGATGACTAGTCGTATTCCAGAATACGACTCTCAGTAAGGAACCTGGAAGCATGTGGGGGTTACCACTTAAGCTGATGAGAAAAAGCATAATGTCAAGGAAATAATAGTGAAAAATAACGTTTCGCGTTGGCGTTGATAATTGCGGTAAGTTCTTGGATGTAGGTCAATGCCTTATATGATATTATTAAGAGACGTGTTTCTCTGAATCTAATATTCAAGGCGTCCTCCGTATGCTTTAGATGGCAGAAGAATTGGCAGTAAAGGCCAATTCTTTTGCGAAAGGTATTCCAACAAATACTTTTTTAAAGGTATATCCAAGAACAAACGACAAGCCATTGTATTTTTACACGTTGCGTTGCGTATCCTGAATAATAAAGTAAGTTAATTCGAAAAGTTAATTTTCCAAAGAGCAATGGAACGCAAAATAAACAGGATGGAAAGAATGCGGAACAGTAATCTGCGCTCGAGACGTAATGTTGGGAAAAGGATTGCCAAGTTGAAATGGGATGGGGCTGGACACGTCTGTCGCACGCACTCACAGTGATGGGCTCATACAGCCACTAGGTGGATGTCGGAGGTCAGCCAGTGACGACAAGACGGACCAAGAGGGAAATGACGGGAATAACTTCGACGCGTGTACAGGGTCATTTTGTACAACCTCGCAGGATTATGTTACCAAAATCATCAAAAATCAACATGACTTTTACAAACCATAATAAATTTATAATTTATTGTTTGAAAGCTTCTAGATCTATATTTAGTAGTAAGTTCAAACCTGCAAGCGTTCTCCCTGACGCCCCAATCTCAGCTCTTGCGTTTTGCATCGGACTAGTATTTACGCTAGCGCTTTTTTATTGTTACACACAGAGTTATCACCGTATAGAGTCATCTATTTAATATTTTTATTTTGTATGAAAGTAAAACTTGATGAATTTATTAAAAGTCATGGATCAAAAGTTCTTGTTTGAAATATTTATAATGTAGGCCTGAGAAGTTGTCAATATTTTATAAATTACCTTGTACACGGACTGGCCACATTTTGCTTTAAACCGGAAGTTGTGAATGTCGACAAGGAGGGCTTTTGCGCAGCAATGGGACACAATAATAGGCATATAAAAAAATTGGAAACAAATGTTTTAGGAAACGAAGGAATGAAACTATCATACAATTTTTAGATCAATTAGACTTTGTACATGCGTGTTCCGTCAATTTAATTTACAATCTCCAAAAAAAAAAACTTTTCGAATTAACACCCTACGATTAGAGATACGATTGGTTCATTATCTATATTCAACACGAAGTGGACAAACTCTTGAGGTATAACAACTTCTGTGTACATGTGATCCAACTGTGATACAACATTATTCCTATTTTTTTTCAATTTCCCAATTGAGTAAATCCATTTTTGGACTTGCAACATCGATACTAATTTGGTATATAGATTTTTGGCAAAATAATTAATGTATACAGTCGCATTCTATTTCCCTTATTAAAAAGTATGCCCATCATCATCAGATTATCAAAATATTTTTAGAATGAATTAAAGTAATAAATTTAGTGAAATATATGATCGTAGTAAGCGGCCGTCGGCAAAAAAGACCAAAGAAGTTTTGATTGTAATTTTTACGTGAAAAGAATGATCATTTATAAAACAAAATTATGAACTATGTAGCACTTATGTCAATGTTACCACAGTCTACTTTTAATGAGCTAAAATCTCAAAATATAACACAAAATTTCTTATATTTATTTTATTTGCCACAAGAATTTGTTGCATGAGAAATAAACTACTGTTCAAGTAAATTAAATAATTACTTGCTGCTCGAGTGTTTAAAAAACTACTCAGTTATTTCCCAATTTAGTCGTAAAATCACTAATTTGGCAACACTACAAAGCGCTAATCGCACGCTTCACAAAACTATGGCGCCATTAAACTTATAGCGAAATGTAACGGTTACTGAAGAATAATCTCTATTAACAGTGCGCTGATGATTGTTTGTGAGGTGATAATTAACAACGTAGTTGTGTAAATCTCAGTGCTTTCATTCCCCTTCTGAAACAGCGTCATAAAGTTCATAAACAAACAATGTATTTAAATTACCTAAATAATTATTTTTTTGTGTCAATAAATAGTTATTTTTAATGTTGCCAGTATAATGCTTTTACTACTAATTATAGGGAAATAATTATTTGAGCAGTTATTAACGACCAGGGATAACATTATTTTCATACTGTAATTCATTATTGAAGCAAGCAATCAAAAGAAATAATTTTTTTATAGGAATTTTCTGTCGTG